GTTTTTCCCTACTTCTTGCGGCTACCACTTCACTACTTTCATAAACACAGGTGTTTTTTTTTTATTCATTCTTTATTCTAAGCTGATGTAAAAATTTATAAAAAAAAAAATATGTATGTATACATATTTCATGATGTAAATTTCTTGAAGCTAATCGAACGCTTAATAATGGGGAAAAGAGTTTTGGAATAGGAAAATTGTTTTTCGTGAAGTGGAGTATCTATTAATCTGTCAGGCGAAGGCAGTTGATGGAGAAGAAGAAGAAGAAGAAGAAGACTGTGTGCTGTCTGGCAGCAGGTAGCTAAAGCATGGCAGGACGAAGCAGACGAAGCAGGCGAATGGATGAAGACGAAGACAGGCGAACAGCGATAGGCTGGGAAGGCAGTCAGTCAGTCAATCGAACAATCAATCATTCGGAATGACAGCTACATCGACTTAAGTCAAAGGAAATGCGTGCAGGCAGGCAGGCCAAGGATAGCTCCTTCCACCTGTCACCCTCTCTCACTCTCTCTCTCTCTCTCACTCTTCTCCTTTTGTTGTGCTTTGCCTGCTGTGCGCACACATGCATACATTGATTTATAAGCCTGGGCCGCCAAAAATTGAATGTTATTGCTTGAATGGCCGCAATTTACTAAAAAGCCTCACCACGCCCCTCGCCCCACCCCAGCCACCGCACTACGCTAGGCACCCTCGCCGTGCTGACCGTTATTTATGTGCACGTTTATTTATTAGATGGCCCCCCAGACACTTGATAAAATTAAACGCAAATGGACGGCAATTTTGCATTCGGCATTTTGATTTTGACAGGACTCGGGAGTCGGGAGTCCGGCCGGGACACTTACCAGAAAGTAGACGGCGAACGGCATTACGACTACGGCGACCAGCAGATCGGCAATGGCCAATGACACTATAAAATAATTCGTAACCGTCTGCAGCGATCGCTCCCGACAGACGGAGAGGATGACGAGAATGTTGCCGAAGAGCGTGAGGATCGGAAACAGGATCAGGATGAGCGCCCAATAATTGTGGTCCACTGCAAGAGAATAGAGAAACAATTATTAGAATACGCTAGCAAGCAGCCACAGACTGGGCGTGCCAATGACATGCAAATGTATGCGGGCCACGGCTCCATTTGCATGCCGCAAATGTATTCGGCACAGTCGAGTGAGATGTGAGTGCATGATGCCTGATGTGTCCTGTATAATGGGTAAAGAGTAGAGCGTAAAGAGTGCAGGGTGAGAGGGGAGAGGGTGCTAGAAGGCAACAGGAATTTACAAATATTTATTTTGTTATTGTGCCAACAGCAAATCGAAATTTATCGATTTTTATTTGCGATGCTAAAGTCTGAAGGCATAGCAGAACGGGCATCATCTAAGTTCTCGTTGAAGCAGAGCTATACGAGCCTTAGGCAGTTTAAAATGTTGAAAATGCTCTGAGAACAGAAACTGAAAAGTTAAGTTAGCATAGAGAAGAGAGCATTAATATCGATAATAATCGATAGTGATTGATATTTAGCTTATGATTTAACAGCTATGCTCTTAGGAGCTGGTATCAGCTCCTTCAACAGGCAGCTTATCCACGTATACTAAATACTTTACTATGCAACTCCATTGAATTGAAAGGAATTGAGGGTATTCCTTTAAAAGATGTTAGATTATCGTATTAAGATCCAAATTATCAAATATCTGCATATAAAATAAAGACTTGGTAGATGAATGATTCAATGAATGCCTATATAATATACATAATATATATACTATAGATATATAGGTCAAGTGCCTACAGAGTAGAGCTACAAATGGAGCAGGCTCAATGATTGCTAAGCAGGTAGCTTCGGGTATCGATTGCTAAATGAGATGATAAATCTAATCGCACCATGTTGATCTTTGTCTCAAGTGTTGCACAAGTACTCACCGATTCGCAGTTCATGGCACGATTCGGATGTCAGATTCAGCGTTGCATTCGTGCAATTGGTGCGATAGTTCTCAAAGTACAGGCTGGTCAGGTTCTGGTCGAGGAGACCCGTACTGGCCGTACTGGTCGTGCCGACGACCGTTGTGCCCGAAACCGTGCTGCCATTGTAGTTGGGAAAGTAATCGTTAAAGTTCTCCAGCAGCAGCATGAAGGAGCTGCCACCGGTGCTGGCGCCAGCACCACCGTCGCTACCGACACCGACACCGACACCGTCACCAACACCGCCATTGCGATCTCCGGCAACGCCACCCGCAGCACCGGCTGCCTGGGCGCCAGCGCCACTCAGCCAGACGGCGTTCGCATCGTAGCCGGAGGCGACTGTCGTCCGATTTGTTAGCGTAGTCGCTGTGCGCTGCAGGAGCTCGCTGGTGGCATCCACTTCCGCGTCCAGGCTGCCGCCACTGAAGCCGCTCAGCACGCCGTAGTCCGCCTCGCCGTCGGCGACATTCTCGAGCGCGCTCTCCTCGGCGCTGTCAATGAGCGCGATATCCTGCGCATCCTGCGCCGACTCCCCATTCAGCTGCTGCTCCACAAAATTACGCAGCGCATAGAGTCCGCCCCCCTCATCCTCGGCATTGCCATCGAGATGGCTGCCTCTACTGCTGCCGCTACCGGCGCTGCTGCTGCTGCTGCTGTTGGCATTGCTGAGGCTGGACAGCGTGCTGTTCTGTACATCGCCCATGTCCAGGGTCAGCCAGCTGAGGGACTCGTTGAAGCTGCTGACACTGCTGCTGGTGGGGCTCGACGATGTCAGCTCGTTGCTCAGGCTGAGATTGTTGCCGCCGGCGGCGGCGCCCAGCAGCCACTCGCTGATGTCATCAATCAGCGCATAGCCGGCCTCCTCGGCCGCCTGCGTCTCGTCCAGGGCGCTGGCCACCTCGTCGTACAGGGACAGATAGCTGCTGGGCGTCGAGGAGCTGCCGATGCCGCTGCCGATGCCCACGTCCGGACTCTCGCTGTCGCTCCCACTCCCGCTCAATATCCCCAGCCCATCCTCCTCGTCGCGAGGCTCCGCCTCTGCCACGCCTTCCACATTCAGTTCAGTCGTGCGATTGTGCAGATGGCCCAGCAACTTGCCCGCCAGCGATGTTGTTGTTGTTGTTGTCTTTGTTGTTGCCGTAGCTGTAGCTGTTGCTATTGCTGTCGCTGTCGCTCTGGCAATTGTTGCTCGCACGGTTGTTGCTGCTGCAGCGGCTGTCGCAGTGGCTGCTGCAACTGCTGCCGCTGTCGCTGCCGGCACGACCACCGCGACGCCGGCTGCTGAGGCAAAGGCAGCCATCATGTCGCTGCTGGCCACGCCCCGACCGCTCGCTCTGTCGCCCTAGCGGGGCTCACCTAGAAGCGTAGAGCTCGCCGCACGCTGCACGCCAACGCAAAGCTTCCGCTGCATGTTTGCCACATTCTGCAATTGGGAAATGGGAAATGTGAGCGAAGCAATTAGCATAAGACAATAAAGTATTGTAGACTAATATAATATTGGTATGAGATATATTAGCATTAATACTATATATCATATATTAAAATACTAAACTATTTATTTGAGCAAGTTTGGAAAGTCTTCAATTATGCGACTGCATTACTTTTGCTCAGCACAGCTCTCAAATAACTGTTGACCGTTTCGCTATGTTTGCAAATAAGTACATACATACATACATATGTAAGTGCCTTTTACTCACACTCTGAGAAATGACTCAGAGAGCAACCGATTGCATCGGTACTTTTACGAGCTCATTTTGCGATCGGCTCGTAACCGTTTTATTGTTGTTCCGTTTCACTCCTGTTGCTCGCCAACCGCTTGATTGAGTGAAATGAAGCCTAGTCCCTTGTCAATGCATTGGTATGTGTGCGGTTGTTGTCTTCGCTAAATATGCGTTAGCATTGACTTTTTGAGTTATATGCGAGCAAATGCGAACGTTAAGCCTACATATCTCTCCCCAAGCGATGCTAGTTGATGTTCAACTCAAGGCGCTCAACAGAAAACACAGACGAAAAGAACTGAACTCTTTGGCTCCACGATTGAGTGATGAGAGCGTGTGACTTTTAACAGTGCCCTGCTCAGAGTGAAAGCGAGTGAGTATGATTTTTTCACTCGATTTCACGAACAGCATGTCAACGATTGTCTACTGTTATATGCGAGCTATGATGCTGTAAATAGATATGCATGTATGTATGTCATGCATGTCCAACTACCTCCGGTTGAGCTCGCACCTTGCTCATGTCATCTGCTCTTTCTGTTATGTAAACTTGAGTTTAATTATAGCAATTACATATACATACAACCATAACACACTTAACACATGCATGCATACATACTTGTATGTATTCATATATCCACTTGCTTAAATACCTCGCATGGCCATACACGGGCTTCGTTTATTTAATAAACAACTAAAATTAATTGTAAAATGTGTAATTGATTTACAAAAAACAAATACAAAAAGAAGAGAAGACGAATAAGAAGACAATGCGAAAGAGAGAGAGAGAGAGAGGAGAAAGGTTGTTGTTATTGCGCTTGATTGATCGATTGCTGTGGGCGATTTATTTTAAATATTAATAATATTGGCAGGAAACAACGTGGACACAGCTGGAGGCGCCTCATGCTGCGCGGCACGCATGTTTAATTGCAATTGCATTTAAATCGCAGCACACTGCGAGCGAGTGAACGAGAGAGAGAGACAGGATAGGTGGAGTGAGTGGGAGAGAGAGTTCGCTTTATTTAATGCTGCCTTTTGCGCCAATGCAATTATCTATCCATCTCTGTAGTTGGCCGGCCCCCGCACGTTTAATTACCCTTTAATCAATTTATTGCAAATTATTCTACAAAAAGCGCCAACGAAAATTGTATAATTTAATTAAGTTAGCAAAAGGTTTTTATGTGTCGCGGCCCAACCATTCGAGCCAACTGAACTAACTGTCTTGGCTGCTTTCAACTCGGCTGAGACTTGAATGGAAGCAGGCGAAGGAGAAGAGGAGGAAGACGAAGGGTGCCTTCGCTACGTCCATTTGGCCTACCACTCCCACTCACCCAGCTCTCTCCCTTCTTACCCTCCCCCCACTTTCCGCCTCTCCCGTCTCTGTTTGCACCTCCACACACTTTACAATTTGCGCTTTTGTATTTGCCAATTGGCGCTGATTAAAGCCTGCTTAGGCGTTGGCCCATAATTAAGAGCTGGCTCATTGTGCTCTAATCAGGCCGAGAGCATCGAGTGAGCACCTAATGGCAACGTGTTTCCCATTTCGTCCAGCCAGCTGCTGCTCCGCTTTCGGCTCCAGCCCGGGCAGCAGCCACGCCCACAGCCCTCCCGCAACCCAAGTGCATCGAATCCCAGCACTCGAAAGCAAATGAGGCGCAGTCGATTGTCCGCTGATTTAGCTGATAGTTCGGAGTGATATAAATTAGCACTGGCTACTGAGGGCCTTTCGGCACTGGAAGAATGGAAGTAGCAGCTGGCATTGGAAATATAACGGAAATTTGTCGCGAATCGCCCAAGATTTCAATTGATGCTGTGCATTGGAGTTCGCTTGCTCAGCATGAAAGACATATGCATATGTGTGCGTGAATACTAGAGTATAGTAAATATTTTATGCACATAATAAAATAAGAGAATAATCTAATTTTAATAGATTTTATTGATAGAGTGATGGAGAAACAGAAATAAAAATGTTTATAAATATAAAGAGATTTATTTACATTTTTCTGTGCAAAAACAAAAATAAACAACAAAAGTGTTCGGAAAATTTTATCAACTAAGAATTTAATTTAACTTTCATTTAAAACTTGAAACTGAACTCAAATAAGAAAATAAATTAAAAAATTAAATAAATAAATAAAAGCCGGCATTTCCTATTTGAAAGGAGTTCAGGGTATAAAATATATAATATTCAAGAAATGGTTTATTTGGGGTATCTGCTTTCTCTTTATCATCCTCTGTCCTCTGTTTTTCTTCGTCTTTACTTCCCCTTCATGCTCTAGCATCTCTCTCTCTCTCTCTCTCTCTATCTCTCTATCTCTCTCTATATCTCTCTCTATCTCTCTATATCTCTCTCTATCTCTCTCTCTCTATCTCTCTCTCTCTCTCTCTCTCTCTCTCTCTCTCTCTCTCTACTCCATTTATCTTTCCTCAACTAAGTTACTTTCCTGTCCCTCATTTTCTTTCTCTCTCCCTCTCTCTCTAATGATGTATCCTTCTTTCCTCACATCTCTCATTATCCGTTCCCTCATTCTCTATCTATCTCTATCTCTTTCCCTTTCCGTTTTGCTCTGTCGCTCTCCGCTTTATCTCTCTCTCTATACATAGACCTCCTCATTTTGTCTCTATTTTTATTTCTAACTCTCGTTTTCTTCTCCCATCTCCTCTCTTTCTCTCTCCTCTCTCTACATTTCTTCCTGTTCCGCTCAACTTATATGCCCTTCTGTTCGCTCTTCACAGAGCATATTTATATAGTTAAAAACATACTAAGAACATAGAAAAAAAAAAAATCTATTTGCTTTGTTGACATTCATTTCCATCAAAAAAAAATTTTCATTTTGTTTTTTTTTTGTTTTTTTTTTTTTTTTGAAGTAGAATATTTTCATTTCCAATTATTGAACGACGCACAGAATGTTTGCACAGCTTGGAACGGAATCTTATACCGAGTTAGACATGCACATGTGAATATATATGTATATGTGTGTGTATGTATGTACATTTATCTATGCATGTACATCTAGTTAATTCCAGAGCACCCGCGTGTCAAAATGTCTAGTCAAATGGGCACATAATACGATCGTAAACGCGTCAGGATGTGCGTGCCGCCTCCTGCTCGGGTGTGGAGTGCTTTTATTTGTGTCTTGTTGCGACTCACATGCAGATGCCGCAAGATAGTGCAGATGCCGTGTTGTGGCTGCCACAGAGACGTGCCACTCAAAATCCGTGCCAGCTGCCAGCTGCCAGCTGCCAGCTGCCATGGCCACGGCCACGGCCAGGAGCAGAGCTGGAGCAGGGGCCGGCGTCAGGGCCTGGTTCAAATAAAGAAATGAGCAAATTGTTGGCTCTAATGAAATTTTGGCGCAATACGCAAAAGCGAGCGAGCGAAGAAGAAGAGCGAGAGCAAATCACAAGTGGCCCAAGGAAAGGCCAAAGCGAGAGCCAACAGACCCAATACAGAGCTGCACTTGACGCTGTGTGCGTGCGTGTGTGTGTGTGTGTGTGAGTGTTTTGGTTGCCTTTTTCATTAATTACTACAGCAAATGGCAATAAGAAGCAGAAGAAGACGAATAAGTAGTAGCAGTCAAAGGAGCGAACGAAGAAGCAGGAGCAGCAGACGAAGATGAAGAGAAGGCAACAATGGCGAGAGCTCCGAACCGAGCTGAAGTCGTGTAATTAATTTCACTTTCGCTTGAGCGATGATTTTGAATATGCGACGAGCGCACGCAATCCATGCGAAAATCGAAAAATACTGTGGATAACCCGTGGCGCGGCTAACCCGTGAAACTGGGCGTGGCCCGGAAGGACCCCACCACCACAAACCACCGACAAAAAGCGACCTTAGCCATGGCCAAACAACAAAGAGCAAGAGTGTCATTTCCTGTCGCTGGCACCCCATTCAAATAAACCATCCCCATCCCCATCCGCATTCGCATTCGCATCCGCATCCGCATCCGCAGCTCGACATGCGACCACATAATTTCGACTGGTTTGTTGCTGTCCCGCCATGGTTCTTGTCTCTCCGCCATACTAATCAGCATTGTAGGCATACTAATGACATTATTATTATGGCTGCTGCTGCTGCTCGG